GGGCTGGGGATTCGAACCCGCCACCTTAGGTGTACGTGGCTGGCGCCCCAGCCGGTTGAGCTATAGGCGCCGAGCCAAGAAGAGCTCTTGAGCAAAGAGTTGCCAAGTGTTGTATGAGTACGTTTCGATCTAGACTCCCTGCACACAAGGTTTACAGAGCTCTCTTCAATCCTAGGCGCGTTATAGTGCTGGGAGAATCCAACATGGCTATTTGTTTCTAAATATTTATAAATGAATCTAATGCAGAGCGACTTAAGTTACCTTCAATGGCCTGTCCACCTCCAGTTCTTTATACCCTAAAACCTGGAGAAGAGGTTGACATGAGCAGGGCAGGCTCGGTGGCTGCAAACTTGCTTAGTCAGCGCCATTACTGGCGGAATGAGTGGACATGTCCAAGAAGTGCCTAGCATTTACTTCCCGACTGTTTTCTGTAAAAAATATAGAATTCCTATCACAGAACAAAACAAGACAAACTTAGGGACAACACTAAACCAAGATTACCAGTATTTCCCACTCTGTACTAGCTGTGCAAAGACCGAGGTGGTTAAAGCCTGGGTTCGTTTTTAGGATGCTTTCAGCCAAGAGCACAGCTATCTTCGGAAAGGTGCTGTGCCCTGGATCGCGCAGACGCTTATTGCTAAGAGGCTGAGAAACGTGTAGCCCCGAAGATTGGCCGCCCCGCTGGGAATAAACTGGCTTCTCTAGAAATTAAGCTCGGCAGCCAATGCGGCGCCTCGGCCCGAGGGATTGGCGGCCACGGCCGTGACGCGGTCTGGGCGGGCCGGGCGGGTTTGCGACAGTGGCCACGGGTCCCGGCCCCGGGAGCTTAGAGGGAGCGAGCCGGGACCCGCGGCGCAGCGGAGGGGCCGAGCGCCCGCTCTCTGCCAGCACGGACGGTCTCTCCTCCCCTACGCAGCCAGCCCGCGTCCCCGAGCCTAGGCACCGGATCCCGGCGAAGGTGTGGACCCGGGGCTGGCGCTTCCAGGGCTCCTGAGCCAGCGAGAAGCCGAGGTTTGGCCTGCGGGCGCGGGGCGGCCCATCCGTGCAGGGCCGTGGCGGGATTGTCCCGCTCGCTGTGCCCCAGGCTGTGCCCCGGGGCGCGGCGCCTGCAGAGAGCGCGGGGAGAGCGGCGGCGAGCACGCCTGCCCTTGCGCGGGGGCAGCACGCGCGAGGGGATCCAAGTTGCTCGGCACGGCCGCGCCAGTCGTCCGAACCCGCCGCGCTGCGGAGGGGTGTGCGGAGCGCTCGGCTCTGCTCGGGCAACTTCACTTCTCCCGCCGCCCGGGAGAGGAGGGGCTGGGGAGGCGCCGGGGGCGGGAGGGGGCTCCTAATGTGTTCTTCCCCCAAACTTTCCCCACCTCGCGCCGGAAGGCGTTTGTGCTCGCTGGAGAGAACGCGGAAAGCCTGTGGAGCAGCGGGCGAGGCGTGGGAATCTCCCCCATTTGCCTGGCTAACCGCAGCCGGGGCCGAGCGGCGCTGCGGCCGAGATTTGGGGAAGTGGGAGCCGCTGGGCGGGGGCGTCCCGCGCCGAGCCGGCCCCGCAGTGTTTGTTTCCTTTCACTTCCTGCGGCAGCTGCTCCAGATGATGAGGAGGAGCGCGGGGCGAGGGCGGAGCGGCCGCGCGCCCCGGGTGTGAGCGCCCACCCGCTGCCGCCTCCCGGCCCCCCAGGCTCGGGCCATGCGTGCGCCCTGAGTACGGTCGGTCGGAGTTGTGGCCCGGCGACTTCGGAGGTCATGCTGGCTCGCTTTTGAGTGGCCTGGGGAGAGTGAAGAAACCCCAAAATGGAGGACTTTTCTACCAGGACCTACGGCACCAGTGGCCTGGACAACAGACCCCTGTTTGGGGAGACGTCGGCCAAGGTGAGTGCGGCCTGTGGCTCCAGGCCGGGTTGGGTTGGGGGGTGGGGGTGGGGCGAGTGTCTGCCCTCGAGCCCGGAGCCCCGGCTGGGTCTTTTCTGCGGCCCCTGGAAGCGCTTTCAGGAAGAAAGGTAATTTGCAATCCCGCTTTCCTCTCAAGATTGTTTGCTCTGCCACTCTTCGCCTGCTTTGGGACATGGTTGGCCAAGAGCCTTGAGGGCTGGGACGGTAGAAAAGTTCAGAAAGTTCTGTGCTGTTAGAATCCTTTTAGGGGGTGCGGAAGCCCCTCTCCGGAGGGGAGGTTTTGATGTGGTTGCAAAACTGCACCTGCAGCCGGTGTACTGACCTAGAGGCTTCGGAGGTGCGGCCCTTTTCCTACCAACCTGCCCGAAGAAAGCCAAAGAGTCCTGTTTACAGAGAATCCTTAGGGTTTATTCCTGAGGGGTGAAGCAGCCAAGGAGGAGAAAGGGAAAGGGAAAAAGCTAGGAAAACCCTCATCAAAGAAATGTGGGTTTCGTTGATGATGGCTCCCATTCCAGGAAGTGGTCAAAGGGTACTTGGACCCAAACGAGCTATAGTACATTATTCTAGGCCTTTAAAAATATAACACCTTTTGCGGTGGGCCAGCAATTGAGGCGGGCCCTTTCCTGTGATCAGCATTAACTTCTGAGTAGTTTAGGCATGATTAGCCTGGGCTTTTTTCCCCTTTAGAAAGTGGCATTGTTCATCTTTGATCCCAAATCAAGTTCTTTCATCTTCTCAAAAGGTAAGGTACATACAGAATCCAGGGCTTCTTGGATTTCTTAGCTTTGACAGGAGACCTGTAGCAGAAAGGATAGGGAACTTGGCTGACTCTTCCCAAATGTTTTAATGAGGAAATGTATTAAGCTTGATCTCTAGGAGGATGTACCTTGTTCTTCTTGTGGCTTTGCATAATCCAAGCCCATAGTGCTCCTGGTTTAAGAAGCATGGCTAGTCTAGTAGATGTCCTGTTTTTGTAAATTTTGAGCATTATATACTTGGCCCTAGGGATTCAAGGGACCTGGTCAGGTGGGGGAAATATGTAGACAAATGTCTTGTGGTTGAATCTGTGCTATAACAGGGACATTGGGGTACAAAGGAAACCTGGTTGCTTTTATATGGGAAATTTGGCCATCTGTCAGAAGAGCTTAGAGGTTCAGAGTCACCCTAACATGGTCGCATACAGTTGGGGTTCTGGGTGATCCACACCTCTGACCTTTGTAATATAAAGGTATATGACTTGGTAATGGACATACTGGTTTATGTAGACACTTAGAAATGTCTGTTTTTTGAACAGCTTGGTCCTAAACTTCAAATGACTTTGTTTCCTATTGCCTATGATCCATATCCATTTGAAATACATCTAAGAACTTTATTCTGAATGTATTGTTTACTCCGAATGTATGTTTATTGCATACTTAAATACAAGAGTATATTGCCCTGGGATTATTTAGGCATCCAGGGCATTGTAATATAGTGGCTTCATTTACTTGGAGAAAAAAGTCAATCATAATTCCTGATTTCTCAAAATTTCTCCTTTTAGCTCCCTCTGATAGGCTGATAGGGTATTTGGACATAGAGAAATTCCACAGAATGGAGAAAAGAGAGAGACCCAGGGTCAGAGGGCAGGAGACAAAACACTGTTTCTTATAAATCGAGATGCCACATCTGAGGGAAGAGAGGCATCCATCTTAGTTCAAAGCAAATGAAGCTTTTGAGGGCCTGAGGTAGACAAGACACAGGAATGGGGCCTAGGTAATGAAAGGATAGGACACGTTACAGTGGAGCCATTTCCACAGGAGACAGTGACTGCAAGAGTGGATGGATTCCTAGGGATCCTGGGAAGCCCATCCATCACTGGCCCTTCTCTCTGTGTGTCCAGCTTGCTCTCTTTTAGATGCCAGGAAACTGGACACAATAGCCACTTTACAGTGGAAACTTTCTGATAGTGAACCAGCACTTCCAAGGAAAAAGATCGAGAAAGGGAAAAGCTCACTTCCTGTCATAGTCTGACAGATTTTCTGAGCTTTTGGTAGTCTTTCTTGCTTTATAACAATTGTTATATATAGCCCCTCAATTTTAGGTGCAATCCCCTAACTTGAAGGCAGACGACTAAACTAAAGAGCAGAGTCTAGAGCAAGTTTGTGTTTTCTCAGCGCCAGGCAACATGCTGGACATTCAGCTCTCCCTCGCTTGATGTCAAATGCCTCTGTAAGATGGGTGTTCTCATTCCTGTTTTACTGCTAAGGAAGTGGAACCTCACAGAAGGTTACGTGTTGGTGGTACAAGTAGTTTTCCTCTGGTAATGTTTCACCAACTTGGTTTTGAACCGTGAAGCCAGTAGTAATTTAATTATGCAGTTTGTGCTTCTCAAGCACTTTAGATATTCACATACCTATGCTCTTTCTCAGGAAATAGGGGGCGAAGTGGTTTGCTTCATGTTACATAGTCAGTGGGAGAGAATGGAATCTACTAGAGAACAGTAAGTATATAACCAAGTGGACCTTGAGTAGCACCTTCCTGGGCAATCCCTGAAGGGACTTCTCTGTCTTTGGGTTACACATAGTGATTAGAGTTACTGAAAACCCAAATTTACTCAATCCTTCATCTGCTACTTAGAAATAATTTTACAGGTGGAGCCATGGACTGAAGGGCAAAATAAAATAGTTCCCTGTTGTTGAATAACTAACTAGTAAAGGATTTTTGGCAAAAAGGAGAGGTGTTCATCTTTTTTTAAAACACCGTAGACCTCATTCCTGGATACTTTTGGCATTATATGTTGCTAGGTGGACTGTCTTATGAATTCTGGTCTGAACGTCCATATACTTTGTTCATCTCTTTTAAGCTGTTCTAGGTTCTGAACCATAGTATTCCTCCCTTAGTTGAAAAACATGGCATAGTAGGCCAGGTGTGGTGGCTCACGCCTGTAATCCTAACACTCTGGGAGGCCGAGTCCATTGGTTTGCTTGAGTTCAGGAGTTCAGAGACCAGCCCGAGCAAGAGTGAGACCCTGTCTCTACTAAAAATGAAAAACTGAGGCAAGAGGATCTCTTGAGTCCAAGAGTTTGAGTTTGCTGTGATTTTTCGGCATTCTACTAAGGACGACAAAGTGAGACTGTCTCAAAAAAATAAAAAAATAAAGAAAAATATGGCACAGATACCAAGATAATGACAAATATTGGAGGTTTTAAGCCTGTGTTGTGGCCTAGCATTTTCTGAAGGAATGCTGTCCAGTGGAATTACTGTATAATGTGAGCCATACATATTTTAAATTTTCTAGTAGTCATGTTAAAAAAGTATTAAACAGGTGAAATTTTAATAATTTTATTTAACCCTGTATATCCAAAATAACATCATTTCAACATAGAATCAATATCAAAAATGGAGATTTTTTAATAATCCTTTCTTGTCCTAATTCTTTGAAATCTAATGTGGATTTTGCATTTACAGCTCATCTCACTTTGGATTAGCACTAGTTTCAAGTGCTCAGTAACTATGCATGGCTAGTACAGGTTGAGCGTCCCTAATCTGAAATCTGAGGTGCTTCAAACTCCAAAGATTGTTGAGTAGCAACTTGATGTGCTACAAGTGGAAAATTCCACATGTAAGTGCATAACCCAAACTTTGTTTTATGTACATAATTATTAAAAATATTGTATAAAATTACTTCCAGGCTATGTATATAATATGTATCTGAAACAAATAAATTTCATGTTTAGACTTGGGTCTCACTCCCAAGATATCTCATTTATATGCAAATTCCAAAATTCAAAAAAATCTGAAATCGGAAACCCTTCTGGTCCCAAGCATTTTGTTACCATATTGCACAGTTCTAAAGCAACTGAAGTCACAAGAGTTCCATAGTCACAGTTGGGAAACATTTTTCTTTATTATGGGACTTTTGGAAGGTTTAATGTGCCAGTTTTTATTGTAACTGTAGTTGGCGAGGTTGGGTAATAGTGCTTCCCAAACTAATCTGGTGTGTGGCCTTTTTACCCCTAGCATAATGCCTTACACAGTGCTTACCACCACCCCACCACCCCCCTACCACACCCTCATCCCCCCACCCCCAGTAGTCACTAGACAGGTCTCTACAGGATGTACTTTAGGAAACATAGCTCTAGGAATTTCCTTCCTCCTTCCTCCTTTTCCCTCCCCTAGTGTGAACTAAAACATGGAGATACACCCTTCTTTTCTGTCCACAGCCGCCTTTAAAAGTTTGCTTTAGGACAACACACAGTTTGGCGGTTTTCCCACTGTCTATGGAATAGAAGGGCATTAACTTACTCTCAGGGCTTGGGAGTCAATCTTGACATCTTGATTTGTTAGCTGGTTGCCAAATCATCTGAAGTCAGGGTCAACCAGTTTAGATTGGTGAACCTAGGACGGGAGGGGGTGGTTTTCTCAGTGTGAGAAAGCAAAGCAGTATTTCATAACTGCGGCAAATGGGAAAAGGATGAACTCTTCACTTGGGAGGTAGTCTGAGCTGGTTTCTAGACCAGCCTGTTCTATTGATGTTCAGTGATCACAAAATAAATGATTCATTCTCTAAGAAGGTTAGAAGCAGTTCTTGCCCTTTCATACCTTTTTGGATGTGACATATGAAAAGTGAGTGAATTTGGGAGAAAGTGCGTAAGTGGAACTCCCTAGCAGTTGCTAAAGAAGGAGGACCAATGGGGAGGAGACCAAAATAATAGGCTCATCAGGGGTCCTCAAACTTTTTAAACAGGGCCAGTTCACTGTCCCTCAGACCATTGGAGGGCCAGACTGCGGACCTGGGATGAGTTGGCTGCTAAGCAGGACAGGCAAAAACACCTGGCGGGCTACATGTGGCCCGCGGGCCTTAGTTTGAGGACTCCTGGTTTAGATCTTTGGTTCCGAAGGCAAAAGCCACTAACTGAATCCACATATCCCCAGTTAAAAAAATGGTAGTCCTAGTCAAGCAATTAGGACTTAAAGCATTTGGCCTCTGCAAAAAATAG